GCTGATCAGTTTCAGCAGCAGCTGACTTGGGGAAGCTTGGGGTTCTTAAGTTGAATCTGTATGTAAGTCAGAACTGGTGGTCAGTTTCAGCAGCGGCTGAATCTGGATGCCAGTTCCGACTTACATACAGATTCAACTTAAGAACAAACCTACAGTCCCTATCTTGTACGTAACCCGGGGACTGCCTGTAGTTTTATCAATTAACTGACTGATTTTCCATGGACGAGTTGATGAGTCAATAAGCGGGGAACCCCAGCAGGGTTAGTTGCTCCCAGTGCTGGGGAGAGCCGGGAATCAGCTGTCCTGGCCTGCACTGGGTCCCCCTGCTGCGCTTTAGCCTTTTCAATGGATGAAGAGCCTGTTACGTTTAAAAAGCAGAGGGGCAGCTACCTGCCTGCCTCCTGCAGCGAGGGGGCGGGGGGGAACCAGCTTTTAAGCCGGCTCCCACAGCACTAGCTCCTGTTCCCCTCCCCACTTGTGCTTATCGGATAGTTGACTAGTTGCTTACATCTCTGGGTCTGGCTTTGGGCAGGGGGCTGGACTCGAAGGCTCCTGAGGGCTCTGCCAGCCCCGGGGTTCTCTGAAAAGGGAGGCCATGACCCGCCTTGTCTCTCTAACGCCCTGGAACCAGCTACAACTGCGCCACATCGATGGTAGGCTCTGTCCTGTGTGACTGCCCTGGACAGCTGGCCATGGTACGTTGACAGAAGCTGGTCAAGTAGCAGTAACAGCAGGTCCAGTCAATCAGCTAGTTCGCGACTGTTCACAGGCAACTGCGGCTGGGAACCCATTTGTGCAACACCCTCCGGGGTAGCTCTTCCTAAGAGAGCCCAAGTCTCATTTTCAACACACGAAGGCCCCCAGGAGCCCCCGTCTCCTTACAAGTCAATGGGGCCCGACTCCGAAAGGCCCCCCAGTACTGAAAATGGGACTTTGCCACTTTTGAAAATCTTACACACACCCCACTTCCTTTTCTTCACTTGTATCTCCAAACAACCTATCCTTTGCAACCTTCTTGCATTCTTGGGTTAGTATCTTCTCTGAGCCTCCCCAAAGATAAACCAGCTATCTTCTCTCATGCATAACCCCTCCCCCCCCCCCCCCCCACTTCT